GGGGGATCTAAATGATATCCTCAGTAATGAGGAGAAAAGTGGGGGTAATACTAGGAGAGAAGCTTCTTTTCATCAGTTCAAAAGTTTCCTTCAAACTCTTGGTGGGTCTCAATGTCCTTTTATTGGTCATCCATATACATGGTCAAATAATAGGAAGGGTGCTGACTTTATTGAAGTTTTGTTAGATAGAATCATTTTATCCCCTAGTTGGCTCTTACAATTTCCAAAGGCTACTGTCCAGCACATTCAATTGATATCCTCTGACCACTCCATGCTTCTCTTGGATGTTATAGGGAAGAGGAAGCAGTATAGGAAGAGATTTCTTTTTGATGGCAGATGGATCAAAGAACAGGGTTTTGAGGAGTGCATTAAATCTGCTTGGGATGAGAAGGTCTCTAGTGCAGGGTTGTATGGGTTTCAAAAGAAGCTTAGAATTGTCAAGCTCAAACTTTTGGGATGGTCTGCCTCTCTTGCTACTAATTCTTCCAAAATTATAAAGGAGTGTAATGCCAAGCTAGAATCTCTAGGCACTCATGGAGGTGACAGAAACTGGAACCAATGGGCTGCAATTAAAGAAAGAATCCACAATGCCTATAAAGATGAAGAGATCTTCTAGAAGCAAAAGGCTAGAATTAGGTGGTTGAAAGAAGGTGATAGCAACACTACCTTCTTCCAAGCTTGTGTTAATCAAAAGAGAAGAAGAAACAGTTTGGAGAATTTGATAAAGAGAAATGGTGATAGATGCAAGAATGAGCAAGAGATAGTGCATGAATCTGATTACTTTGCTTCTCTATTTACCTCTGAAAGTCAGCTGAGGGTTGAGGAAGTGCTCAGAGGAATCCCAGTCACAATTGATCTGCTCAAGAATCAGAACCTCACCAGAGCTGTGGATGAAGCTGAAATTAAGAAAGCATTGTGGAAGATGGATCCAAGTAAAGCTCCTGGGGTAGATGGGTTCTCTCCTTTATTTTTTCAGTCTTGCTGGCATATTATAAAATCTGATCTGTGCTCAGCTGTTGCAAATTTTATTTTTTTTTTGGTCGTATTCCTAATCTTACCAACCACACTGTCATAACTCTTATCCCTAAATATAAAAATCCTAAACTTGTCTCGGACTTTAGACCCATTAGCCTGTGCACCATTACCTACAGAATCATTGCCAAAATCCTTGCCCTTAGAATTAAGTCTGTTATTAAGGTTTGTGTTTCCCAAACTCAGGCTGCCTTTGTTCCTGATAGGCAAATTTTGGATAACATTATCATAGCCAATGAGTGTGTGCACTTCCTTAATAGCAAAAAAAGAGGAAAAAAATGTTTTATGGCC